GTGTTGACAGAGCTTTAACTACAGCGTTACAAATGTGAGGCTATAATATATTTACATGTGAATAACATTTACATGTGTGGGTGCATCTGTGTTAATGTATTTCTATGTGATGCTCAATAATTTAGGCAAGTGATTGTAATAAGGGATATTAAACCATAGTATTGACAATACTTCCACTGCTCTGCTTTGGGAAGTGCATTATTGCTAAATTAGTCCCTGAAAATCTGGAGATATTAACACTGCTGAGCATGAAGGCAGATGGGATTTGGATCAGAGACCTTTATTTGTAGCATGATACTGACGACTCATTAGATTAAAGTAGGAATTTTGTTTCCTACAGGCGCTTGAATATTAACTGGAGTCAGGGATTTTACTTCCTCGTTGGCATGAGTTAGTTTGTCATAAAAGCTTAAATGGAACTTGGGTAGTATTGATTTTTCTTACATCCTAAAAAGATACTTAATGAAACTCCAGGTACCTAGGAAGGACTTTTATGGAAGGGGAATGCAAAAAAAGCTTTAGTTGTAGCTCTCTTAACAATCTACTGTAGATGTGAATACATTTTTAACTATAGAACCCCTTCACTTACATAGGAGATTCTTCCTCTTCCCAAATGTGCCAGAAATGCATTTGTTTTTGCTTTTTATGCAAAGAACCACTGTAGGATTAAAAAACATAGCAGGAGCAGTGAAAGGTTTTCTTTCTTTTGGGTGCATTTGAACAGCTGCATGCACCAGGGGCCTGGCTCCTGAAGTCCTAATCACAACAGTTAGGCTTTGAATCTGTGCATCTTCAAGCCAGGTGTTTTAACCCATTTTATGGAAAGGGAAATTGAGGCATGGAGCCATTTACTGTGTCATGCAATAAGACTGTAACAAGACTGGGGTTAGAATCTTGAACATCTGACTTCTAGTACAAGGCTTTTTTGACTACGAGACTGTGCTGCCTCCCTGTCACAGTTTGCGGGAGGGTGCAGTAATGTGTTGTAGGCTCAAATTTTCAGCTTGCTCATTCCCATACTTGCAAACGTACAGGGAACATTGTATCTGGGGAAAGATGTGAGCTCCAGTGTGCCCTCCTGATGAGATGTTTATTTATGCACTCTCTGTAGGATGGACAAATCTGGTGTCTGCATAGAAGCATACCCTAAGTGCCAGTTTGGAGTATTTTCTTGCTCATTCATTATACCTCACTTGGATTCATTCAGGGCTCTCTTCCCTTATGCTGTGCATGCTTACACTCAAGGGTGTATGATCATGCATGTCTCATTCAGGTTCTCTTCTAATACTACCAGTTAAAAACCTATTGACCTTCCTTCACATTTAATATGGCGGATCTGCTGGATACTGCATCTCTGTTAATGCCAGGCCTAGGTGATTTCTGCCTGCTCTCCAGCAGGGACCCAAAGTAACTGATTGCAACCTGAACTGACACGCTTCTATCTGAAGTCACTACAATTAGAGTTTGGAATCGCCATTCACTCTCTAGCCATTGACAATACAAGTCGCTGGAGAAAGGATCTTCCCCCACCAGTTTGCTTTGAATCAATATGTATAATGCATGATCTCTCCATTAATTACACATCACACCTTTGGGCCCCTCTTTGTATTGCAAAAGAAGGAACTGTTGCTATATACAGTGTCAGGCAGCTAAGAGCTGGTGTGATTTGCTGGAGTCTTTTCCTTTTTCCTTTTCTCCCTGTGCCATAAGCATCAGAAACAAGGTGTAGTATTTGGTACACTCGGTGACAACCAAGTACTGTACCACAAAACCTCCTGGGGAGAGCTTCAGCTCATGGCCTCCCTATTGTTCTATCTCTTAGAGTCAATCTTAACTTTTGTTCATGCTCCAAAGAGTGATAAGTTGGGGAATTTTACTGAGGATTTGAGTAGGAAGATAGAGCAGCTCTGTGTCAGGTGCAGGGTAATTATTTGCTGGGGCTTCTGTGCTATTTGGTTTTTATTCCCTGTGTTTTCATTAAAGGCTAATGAGATTTTTCTTCATTCAGAACAATAGCTTGGCCCCTGACAAGTTGTTGGTTATTTTTTCTGCTTGGACTCAACTAGCTGTTGCTGCTCCATAAACTTTATGGAGAAAAGGATTAGAGCACAAGAAGTTTCAATCGCCTAATGCAAATCCAAACAGAAAGGACCGAGACTGACTTTGTTTTGTATTTGGGGGAAAAGAGGGGTTGGGGGAATGTTTATGTGGGTTTGAGGGGTGTTGTTCTCTGAATCTCAGTGCTAGATTGCCTGGTTTTAAACTTTTCCTGGAAACAAACGTGGAATTGAAATGAAGGGAAACCTTGGTTTTGAGTCTGTCTTAATTTCTACAACCTTAGAGTTTGGGCATGTGTGCCCCTGGAGCCTGTGCATATATGTGACTGGGTCATGCTGTCTGATCCCATTTGCACATGCATGTGAAAATCCAGCATATGTTTCGGTGCCTGAATGTGAGCCTGTAATAAGGAAGAATGCACATCTAGCAACAATGCTGCTGTACATCTCTGGATGCAACACTGGTTTATTAAATAGTCTGCAAAAGCCTGTTGTGTAACAGATCAGTGCCCCCATCATGCAGCTTTGCTCATGTTAGTAAACACATTGATGTAATAATGAACTATTCCGGGGTATAAGTGCCAGGATTGGGCCCTTGGTTTTTTTTCCAGGTAGTCTACTGCAGTGATGCACTGATGCGCAGTGCATTGCTTTCCAGTGAGAATGGTGCCCCATGCCTTGCTGCCTCCCAGTATCCTGAACCCATAAACAGTTTGCTCGTTATCACAATAATGCTGCACCTGTATCTCATTATAACAGAACACCTGTTACCTTGTTTCCAAAGGCTTTTTTTAATAGCGTGCTTTGGTTTGGTTGCAAGAAAATGTTCCTTTAACAAATCAGGGCCTGAGTGGGCTCAACAGTAGCTGTCTTGTAACGCTGGCATATGCACCAAGTATCTGCAGTGATGCAATAGTCAAACCCCTTATACTGCAGCACAGCATTTAGGAAGGTAGTTCATTACTAGGAACATTATGTAGGTGTGCTTTGCCTAGAAATCTTTGCTGTAGCAGTCTTCTTTTTTTTAATTTGTTCTCTCAAAAGGTATGACAAATAGTGTTAAAAACTCAGGGATTTTAATGTGCTAAAATGGGCAAGTATTGCCTCCCTTTATAGACGGGTAAGCAGAGGGCTGGAACCTCTTCTCCAAGGTCACGTAGTCAGGGGCATTGTTAAGACTATAGCCAGATTGACAGATTCAACCAAACCACCTCTCTTCAGTTTTGGAACCATGTTTGGCAGCTGCCAGAGGCAAACAGTGCATGAGTGTGTGCTCTGCCACCTATGATACCTGTCGTTCAGTTTTTTCTCCCTGGTATGACATTAATTGCTCCTGAACTCCTAATGAATGCTGCAATTCATAAATGCAGAAACGTATCTTTTGAGTTTCCTTTCTGTCCCTTTATGCTTCCACTCCACACCATGTTTTGCATGTGTTTACTGTGAGAAACCACATAGGACTGGTAAAAGACATGGCAGTAAATAGTTATAGAAACAGATTTATTAATAGTCAGCTACTTTTATGGCCTCTTTTGATTTTGAGAGTTGTGCCTTTTCTGAGCAAAGGACCAGGGACTCCCAAATTCTAATCCCAGATGTGATACTGTTTCCCTCCCAGCCTTGGATAAATTGCAGAAGGCCAAATTTATAATGGTAGCAAGGCATTCTGTACCAAGCAGCTCTCTTGTGACATTTAGGGGCTGGACTTTCAAGAGAGAGCAGCACCCAAGATGCTAAACTCTTAATAGTCTTGTACTGGAGAGGGGAATGACCTCTCTTAGAAATATGACCTTGACAGCAGGTGCTGAGCTGTCTGGACAATTCCTATTTTAACTTTTCCATGGCTTAGTTTAACCACTTGTGAAAGTGGTGTTGATGCAACCTTACTCTTACTCTGCATATTTGTATTTGGACAACAGCTTTATGATAGAAAGTGTTAAGTACATGTTAAATATTATTTTAGGTTTCCTTTCTTCAACTGTTAATTTATCTGATGCTTATGGCGTTTGGTTGTGTGTGCTTGTTGGAGGGACTGGAGAGGTAAACTTTTCTCCTCAACACCCTTAGTGTGATTTCCCCACTTTGTTTAAAATCACCAGGCTTAACCTTTCCATTACTTGCTAAGGTAAATTTACAAGTTCTAGTTTTTTAACAATTTAGTGTTTGAGTCAATATTAAAATAAAATGAAAACCCACTTCTCATTTGGTATGTGTTGAAAGACTTTTGCAGCCCTGTTTGTCTTGCTATTCGGTGGGGGGGAGCAGTGTGTGTCCGTACAGCACATTTAAAGTAGTCTTTTACTTCTCCTGTTGGCAACCAATTCTCTTGGTATCTTCTTCCTGGGTAGATGCTTGTTTTACAGCACCATCTATCTGAACATTTTTTTAGTAACACCCATCACTATAGCATCTGAATGAGCACTTCCCATCTTAAACCAGTAGCAGAAAGTCCTTAGCTGACCAACTATGCTCTCCAGACAGTGTGACAAAATCTAACACAGTTACAGTAGTGCGCACACAAATTTTGCTTCAGTCCATGTGTGCAAGATAGTGTGCCATTATCGGGAACCAGGTTTACAATATTTTTTTTTTCTAGTACCTTTCATTTGAGTCTATCAAAGCTTTTCATATATGAAGTAAGGCGGTTAACATCCCTGTGAAGTGGACATCATAACACCCATTTTACATACAGAGGAAACAGTAGCACTGATATGCACAACAAATTCCCCAAAATTGTAAGCATGCATTAAGCAAATGATGTACGTTTTTATTTCCAAATAATATTTTTGTTCTTGTGTCTGCTAAAGTCCCGTTTGAAGTTTGCAGTATATTTCAGAGGAAGGATATCTGGCACCATCAGGTGATATTGGCCTGTCCCCTAGGAGTATAAATTGATCCAGCTAAAGTTAGTTAAAGTTTTCACCTCTTCTTTTCCCTCTCCAGGAGGGGATGCAGTGGATGCTGGTTATGCACAGGACAGCTCTGATGACAACCAGAGCTGGACATGTGCCCCTTCCATGGTATCGGATGCATCATTTCCATCAGATTACCAAGATGATGGTAAGTGACTTCTGACTGTGAAATATTTTCAGTATTGTATTTGGAGATATACTGTATTTTTCCTTGGCCTGCTGTCATTTCTATTTTTGTTGTGCTTCCAGTGTTGAAGTTATGCTTTCTGTCCAGCTTATGCTTTGTGTTGAGGACTAACTGTTATATTTACCAGGGCAAGTTCTAATAAATTGAGTAACTCTAAAGCTAAAGAGACAACTCTGCATCTGTGGTGTAAGTGTAAACTGTACTGATTCATTTTACTCTGGATTTATGGTGAAACAGCAAACTTTGGTCAAATGGCCAGTTTTTGAAAGTGGAGTAGTGGTTCTTGGGTATCAAACTTAAAACACCTAGGGGGACCTAATTTTCAGAAAGGGCTGAACTTCTACCATCTGAAAAAAGGATCCCTCCAGTTTGGGCACTGGAGTAATTAATAGTTATTTGAATATCATTTTCTTCCCAAGGAAACACAGATACTCTAGATTTGGGTTTAGAAACAGGCAGAAGATGTACTCTGTGGTGATTTGAAGGCTCTTGAAGAATTAGTAGATCTTTGCTGTTTTGCACTGGGCCATCCTGGGTATAAAAGTATCTCTAACACTTGCCTCCACTTGCAACTGGTAGCCCAGCAATGACAGGTGTATGACCCATTGCTGAAATCCAAACATTCCATGGTACAGTTCACAAATTAAGAAAAATGAGGTTTTATTTGGTAAGGAATCATATCACTGGTAATATCTGTGATTATGAAGTTATCTTCCTTGCAAAGTGTGGTATGCAGTATATACCTGCAATTTGTACTGATTCGTGCTATAAAATAAATGGTTTTGTAACACTGACAACAAGGTTGATCTGGTAGCTGGTCGCTAATTGCAGCATGTGAAAAGAGTTTAGGCATTGT